GCGATGAAGTCGCCAGAAGGGCAAATAGAACTCTGGCATGCATCAGCCGATGTGTTGCCAGTAGATCCAGGGAGGTGCTCCTCCCTCTCTGTTTAGTGTTGGTGAGGCCACAGCTGGAGTACTGTGTCCAGTTCTGGATGCTGCACTTCAAGAAGGATGTGGATAAACTTTAGAGGGTACAAAGAAGGGCCACTCATGGTTAAGGGCATGGAGGATAAGCCCTATGAGGAGAGACTCCAGGAACTGTTCAGTGAGTAAAAAAAGACTGAGAGGTGTCTTGATAGCCGCCTACCAGTACATCAGGGGTGAGTATCAAGATCTAGGAGAGCAACTCTTCAGGAAGGCACCTCAAGGGAGGACAAGGATCAGTGGGCATAAGCTAATAGAGAGTAAATTTAGGCTAGACATAAGAAAAAACTTTCTAGAAAGAATCTCAAATACACTCCCAGCAGAGGTGGTGTAGTCACCCTCCTTGGAGGTGTTCAAGATGAGGCTGGACAGGCACCTTGTTGAGCTCGTCTGAGGCCAATCACTTCCTGCCTATGGCAGGGAATTGGACTTGATGATCTTACAGGTCCCTGCCGGTTCTATGATTCTATAAAATATGGCCCATGGGCTGGATCCAGCCCACCAACTCACTGGATCTAGCCCACAGATGGCTGCCAGCTCTGGCTGCCACATGGTGCTGGGCAGGCAAGCAGGACTGCTTCTGCTCAGCATCAAGCATCAGCTGTGGACCTAGGCAGGGCTTCTGCCACAGCGGGTAGGCAGCATTTCAGCTGTGGATGCCATGGACAAGTTCAGGAGTCTAGATGTAGAACCTGCTGGCAGCGTCCACAGCTGATCCACTGCACTCCCAGCATGGTGGAAGCTCCTTCCCAGTGCCCCAACATGGAACCTGCCAGCAGCATCAGCCATGGATGCAGGCAGGAGCTGCTGCGCTAGGTGGGTGGCAGTGTATCTCTCTCTCCCCCTCCTTCCCTTCCTCAGAACCCAGTTGAAGCAGTAGTTCACCAAGAGCCCTGACACTGAGATCTGGACCCAGGCAGTTGCTTCTGTTATGCCAGGTGGGTGTCAGCATCAGCTGTGACACTGTCAGCAGGTTCTGATGCCACTGCCCACCTGGTGTGGCAGAAGCTCCTGCCTGGATCTACAGCTGAGCGTCCAGGCTCCTGGCGAACTGCAGCTTCTGCCAGGTTCTGAAGTGAAGGGGAGAGAAGAGAGAGCGACAGAAAGAAGAAAAAAGAGCAGAGACAGAGATGGATGTGGCCCTTGACGGGTCCCCAAAACTCATTAAGTGGCCCTCCAGCCAAAATAATTGCCCACCCCGACCTAGCCTATTTTCCAGTGCTCTCCTTGAAGTTGGCCAACCTGACAGGTAAGATGGAGGCGTATGTAAGGCTGGGAAGAAAAAGCAAACTAGAGGGTGTGTGGCTCAGTGAGATGGATGCTACCGTGGGAGGAAGTAGTCCCTGGGTTCTAGGTTGACTCTTCTTATTCCCCGTAGGACAGATAATTTCTCCAGTGCTCTCTCTCTTTTACCCAATAACTGTCAAGTGCAAGGTGTAGTAGACCAGCTTTAAGAGGAGGGCAAAAGAACTGTTGAGGCACCATGGCTTGGTGGTTAGGATACTGTGCTGAGAAGCATAAAACATGGGCTTAGGCCTCCTCTGGATGAGGAGGGTCTAGAACTTGGGTTTCCTGCTCACTGGGCAAGAGCCCTGGGCCCTCAGCTCTTACTACTGCCGCTTCCCTTCCAGCAGGTACACATGCCAGGTAAAATAGAATCACAAACTGTAGTTATGCAGCTGCGTGTGCCATTTATGCATAGAACGCAAAATAAGATTCAGTCCCCCACAATGTATTTGTAATACATGCGCATACATGGAGTCCGTGTGTGGGGACTAGATGCATCTAGGGAAGTCAGGAAAGAGATCTAAGTGCCTAACAGCTGTCAAGTACAGTGTAGGGACAGTAATGAAGCTGTACAGGAGCAATTTAGCAGACACTGGCTAGGTGGCTGGAGCTTCAGAAGCTGCCTCCAACTACAGCTGTTCATCTTCTCATCTGAATTCTGTGGAAAGATCAGTGGGATTCTTTGCAGTCACACAGGAGCCCAGGTGCAGCCAAAGATGCAGTTAGGCCTGCTCTGTGCTGCATGTTCCAGGCACAAATCCTAACTCCCATTGCACAGCTCTCCAAAGAGGCTGTTCTTGGTTACCCCAAAAGGTCATGAGCACAGCAGGTATGCTGGAGGTGAAACAAGGCTCTGCTCTGATGGGCCCTACTGTCCACAAGTCCAAGCACCACATAAGTTAGAGGTGTTGTATGCACCCTCACCACAGTGGGCAGTTCCCGCAGTATTCCTTACTGCTAAGGACTAGAAATTTGTACCTGACCATTCAGCGAGGCAGTCTGTGCCAAGGGTTTGCCAACTCTTTCCTTTATTTCCCTCCTTGCTGAAATCCACACCGATGTGCCAGCTGGACATTTGCCACTATCTGCTTAGGGTAGGATAGCACTTCTAATGTAGCTTCTCTATTTTCTTTGACAGGTGCTGAAGTACACAGCTGGTGAGATTAACTATGGAGGCCGAGTGACTGATGACTGGGACAGGCGCTGCATCATGAATATTTTAGAAGATTTCTACCAGCCAAATGTTCTAACTCCAGATTTTGCTTATTCCAAGTCAGGAATCTACAAACAGATCAGCACTACATATGACCATAATGTAAGTAATTCAGCCAGTGAACACCACACATGCTCCTAAACTCACAGAGCAAAAGGCAAAACAGAACCATGTGACTGTAATGTTGTGAGGTCATCTGTAACAATGCTGTACTCTTCCTGTTCACTAGAGGAAAACACAGGATGATAACAGCCCACAAACCCATACCATGTATCAGAATCTGTGCCCTGTTTAACAATAGGCGCAATGGTAGGTGTCCAGTGGAACAGTAGAAGACAATTTGTATAAAGGATCTCTGCTGACAGTAGAAGTGGGAAGAGTGATTTTGGATATGTGGGTAGCTATCAGCAGAATGCCCCAAATAGGAAGGTAGCCTTTGTAAAATGCACAGTATTGGTATAGTTTATTATTTAGCATATTTGGTTATCAACATGAAGAAAGCAGTGCAAGTCTTACTGCTGTTAGGCTCTAGGTTCTGTAACACTCTATAGGCGTAATGCCTATATGACTACTCCCCTTACATTCAAACTCCTCTCTCAACCTCCTGCAGCCAAACTACATAGCACGTGCTGGCTTCTCACCACCTTCTCTCATATGTCAGCACTGCCACAACCTTCATCACTCTGAATTCTCCCCTCTCCTTCATCTGCCTTTGAGCCATCACATTGAGAGTGAACAACATTATGTAACCCTGAGCTAACTTGGAGGGGAGTGTTACATTTTACTGCAACAAACAGGTATCACCTGATAAGAACCAAGGCTGTAGAAAGGCCAGTAAATTAGGGTAACAGGTAAATGCACATGTACCAGTCAGGGTCAACAACAATCTGAACAGACCCCATACCTCCATAGCTGTGCTATGCTTCCTTTCAGCCATCTTTAGTAATGCTCTGCTCCTCCAACCTACATGCTTCTTTTTCTCTAGGGCTACCTCCAATACATCAAGAGCCTGCCACTCAATGACATCCCAGAGATTTTTGGTTTGCATGACAATGCCAACATCACTTTTGCTCAGAATGAGACTTTTGCCCTGCTTGGGGCCATTGTTCAGCTGCAGCCAAAAACATCCGCCTCGGGAGGCCAAAGCAGGGAGGAGGTGCGTATTTGTAGTGCCTGGGGTTGCCACATGCATGATAACATGCTCTGTTCTGTGCTTTGTGTTGCCAGGTGGAACAGTGCGATGTGAAGTCCACACTGGATACTGTTTTTTACTATAGCAGTATCACCCCCCAGCTCTGCCCATGCTGAGTCTCCTAGACCTAGGATCATCAGACCTTGTCGGTTCTTGGAGGGAAGATCCTTCCACCCCCACCTCCCCCCGTAGACTTCCCATGCAAGGAAAAGGCAGGTGTTACAAAATGTACTACTAAATAGATGGTGCACTTCCCCCCACCCCAAGTCAGGATTGAAGCTAGGGAGCACTATACAACCATGGGTATCATTCAGATATCAAATAGGAATCCAGACTTAGTCTGTTCCTCACAAATCCCCTGATGATTTTCATGGAGCTGCTAGCCTCAGTCCTGGCTTGTCTCATGTCAAGTCAAGTCAAGTCAAGTCAAGTCAGTCCTGAGGCTATACTGACTGTTGGGGCACCTTTGATGTAGCAATAACTTTCTTCCATTCTTCCTAGTCTTTTGCAGTCCTTGTACAATCAGTCAGTTTTAATCCTGTCCAATCCTTGATGTTTGTGGTTCAGCTTGTCCTAGCACAGGGAATTTACACCTGCTATGGTGATGGATTATAGCATCCTTCCTGCTTTTAGCTGACGGTTCATGCAAAAAAACAGTAACCTGGTACAACTGTTGTTGCCTCCCACCCCAGAGGCCTGCCTTTCAGTGTCTCCCTTTCATAGAAAACTCACTGAGCTCCTGTGGGCATCATGTACATGGCAAAGGATATTGCAGGAAAAGCAGCTCTGATGGGGCACAGTGTTGTGCCTCCTCAGATAAAGGAATCTGGTACCCTTCTCATCCCCACTGCAGACTCATTTGGAACAAAACTAGGTAAAAAGTCTGATGGGAATCTGGGAAGTCCTGCAACAGCTGATCTGGCGTTAGCGTCTCAGAGAGGTTTGCTTCCCAATGGGATTACTGCATTGGTGTTACAAAATCAATGCTGCTTTTGCAGAGAAGCTCTGCCTTGGGACTCCCCTAGAAGCAGTTTTCTTTGGCCTCCCTCTCCTAAGAGTCCCCCCTGCAGCCATCCCTGGTGTGGCTTCACAAGGGGCAGCCTCTGGCTTTGAGACTGGCCTTTCTGAGGCCCTGGCTTCCCTGGTGCTTTGCAGCACCCCCACCAAGAGATCCTTCTTTTTGATCAGCTCCTTGGAATGGCGGGGGGTGTTTTGTTCTTCAAAGAAGAGGGGTATCAGATTGCCGATGCCCCAAACAGCACTGCAGATTCTGCTTCAAAACAAGCTGTCTTTACTGTGCCACTCCCATTCCCTCAGTCCTCCCTGGGACCTTCTCTCCTTCTTCCTTGAGACTTTTTCTCAGCCCTCTCAGAGCCTTCACCCGTTCTCCTCAGGCCCAGTCAGCCACACGTGCAATGAAACAGTTTCAAAACTATGGGACAACACTTGCCCAATACAGTGAAACAGAAGGTCATGGGTAGGGACCTAACAAAGTCACAATTTTGCAGTTTTCATGGACATTGTGAATTTGGTAGGTCTGCCACAAATAAGCACAGGAACTGCAAAAAAGAATAGGGAAAAAAAGAAAAGGGAGCTGCAAACAGAGGTGGGAAGCCCTGGCATCCTGAAGCACTGGGGGGGAAGAGAGGGAGACTTTCATGGCAGATCACAGCAGGCCCCCCCACCCCACACCTTTGATTGGCTGAGAGGCCCTAGAAGTCCCAAACCTCGTCCCAGAGATTGACAGGTGGGCATCTATCAATTTCCAGGAAGGGTCGAGACTTCCAGGGCCCCTCGGCTAATCAGAGGCACGGAGGGAGGGGCAGGGCGCTGCTCTCTGTCGTGAAAATGGCACCTGATTCTGCGCCAGGACCACAAAATACGGAGGCAGCTTCTGTGACTTAGGTAGTCCCTGTTTGTGGAGAACCAGGCAGGGAGCACCCTGCTGCCAGGCCCATGCTGCCATCTCTCCCTGGGCTGAAATGGGCATAAAGGTGTCCTGTTTATGAAACTATTGACAGCAAAGCCTAATCCCACTGATTCCCCCACCAGAACTGCAGGCTAGAACTCACCCTCCCACCCCCCACTGAGCCTTTCTTTGTCGTATCTGGCCCTCTAAAAATGGAACTGAGCCAGATTACTGCATGCAGGAAACCAGGAATGGTCAAATTTTCCTCTTCGTGCATCCGTAATATATTTTAATTACTCTGAATGTGAAATACCTACTTGTTGAAATCCGACTGGGCCAGGCTCCATCTCAGTAGTTTGGTCTTGGCGCCTTTCATCTGATTTAACCAGGCAAGTAATGAATGAATGACCTGTGTACACTGTGAACCATCTTCCATATAGATAGGGTTGCAATTCCTTCAGAGCCCACATCTCAAGAGCCAGACATTTTCAAATGTAGCAAAGGTTTTATCCCTCAGATACTCAATGGGGTCTCTCTCTCCCTTTGGGGATCTGCTTGCATTAACACTGCCCCCAGCCTGGTTTCTGAGACCTCTGTGTAAACCACAAGGGATTTGTCAACATCTGAATTATCTAAAACCAGGTCTCTGCTTAAGGAACAAAGAGCTCTCTGACATGGTGTAGTCCAGATCACCCTGTCTTACCCTTTTTGTACAGCTCAGTGATGGGAAAGCCTGGTACACCTGGCAGTCCTGTTAATACTGGAGATGCTATTTGTCTTTTCAACCCATTCAAGCCAAGGTGGCCTGGAACACCTGGAAAACCTTTGCTGCCCTCGAGACCTGGCAATTTTGTGAGGCCTGAAAGCCCAGGGGTACCAAATGTTCCAGAAAATACACCCCATTCAACCCTTGACTGACAGGGCTCAAAGATGGCTTCAGTTCAGACTTATTGGGGTGTAGGTTGTAGCCGTGTTGGTCTAAGGACATAGGCAGACACGGTTCTTTCGGTAAATCTGGTATCTTTTATTAGACCAACTTCAGTTCAGAATAGCACTTTGAACTCATACAATCCCAAATCCATGCTGAAAACAGACTTCCTCTTGGCAACTTCATCAAATGGGTTTGCCAATACCCTTTGGTCAAGTCCAGTAAACTTTCCATGTGTTCAATAGGGCAAGCTTGTTCCTATTGTTGTAATTTTACACTATTCCTTGCAGGTACTGCCTGCTGTCTAAGGGTCTCTCTTGAGTCTCCTTCCCCTTCTACTGGAGTATCTTTGATTTGGGTCCTACTCATCCTAGGAAAACTTTCAGCACTCCTAATCTGAATCAAGACTCAGGTCATGCCTCTCAGGCTGTCTGGAAAGGGATTTACTCCCACATATATGGCATCCTCCATCAAAGAATCAATTATCTTTGCTTGCAGGGCTAACTGAAGTCTCTCCTTGCTGGAAGCTGTGAGCTCCAGCAGCATCTCTGCTGGTTGCTTACACACTCAGTAACCTCAGTCTCCTCCCCCGCTTCCTTCATTAGGGCCCTGAGGTTGGAGTCCTTCCTACTGTGACTTACCACAATAATCATCTGTTGCATCCATGTCCACCCCATTACTAAGGGGATTTCTGTACCTGGTGCAATACTAGCTGCAGGTAGCCAAGTTAGTCCTCCCCCTTTTTCAAGGGCTGTTACTTTCTCGCCAGGGACACAGACATCTGATGTCCGGGAAGGAATAGGTAGAGACCTGGGCTCCTGCATCCCTCCACTTCATGCACCTCTTGCCATTGGTCTCTGGCTTTCTAGACATGTTCCACATTTTCTGGAAAGAACTCCAGCTGAACATGCTTAGTGAGGACCTTTCCTGATTCCACCTCTTGGCACCCAAAACTTTGGTGGACATAACTACCAGTTGCAACTGGGATAGATCCTCCTGCTCCACCAACTCAGGGCACTGAGTTCTCAAGTATTTAGTAGATCCATACTTGAAACACATTGCTTTTGTGACAACTGGGTTAAGATTAGAGCCCATTTTTCCACCCACCCATAGGGTAAGGCTGTGCCTCCTCACAGAAAGAACCAGGAAAACAGCAGAAACTGTGCTACCACTTACCAGCCACAATAGATTGACAGCCTTCAGCAGACAGTCCACTAGGTTTCAACAAGAAGCTTCTTCCACATGTAGAGACTATAACCAGAAGTGTGCTAGGAAAGGCTCCTTTAACCAGGCAGTCTCCAAGAAGGGTGCTTCTCCAAGTGTCAGATCACCTTATTTTACACTAACCAACCGTCTCTGGCTATGAGTTGCCTTCCCTAAATGAGGTTTAACACTCCAGGCATTGCTGTCTTGTCTTTCCCCACTCGTCTTGTCTATTAAGTCCCCTAAGGACTCTCCTAAAGGGAGACCTCCACAGAAGGTCAGGAGATATCCAACAATTCCCCCAAGGAGCATTTTATGGATGACATAAGTAGAAAGAACCTTCCTGCTAAACTTATAAAAGTGTGGACCTGAAAAAAACCTGTTCATTTCCTCTTTGACCTTGGTCAAAATTCACTTCCCAGAAGCAGTTTCCACAGCATCTTCTCATCCTATTCCATCTACCTTCTAGGTGGTAGAGGAGACATTGAAAGACATCTTGGAGAAGCTCCCTGCCCCAATTAACCTGAAGGATGTGATGCTGAAGTATCCAGTGCTCTATGAGGAGTCCATGAACACGGTGCTGGTGCAGGAGGTGATCAGGTAAAGGTTTGTAACTGCCTGTAGGGGCATAGGCACGTGAGCAACTTCCCTTGTTGGGGAGGGATATCACTGTGCATCCCCCCCACAAGCTGTCATCCTGGGGGAAGAAATACCATGCGAGGCCTCTTGCAGCTGACCATGAGGAATCATGGAAGGTACCACATGCCCCCTGCACAGGGTAGGGCTGCAGTACCTGTACCTCTCCCTCTCAGGTGTCAACATTGCCAGAGCAGCTGCAGTTAAGGCCCACGGCCTTAAAATCTCACCTGTTCTGTTGGGTCTCAATACAGGGCTTCAGATTGTTCAGTGGGTTTCACCCTGCAGCTGGAGCAAAGGGCTTCAGAACAGAAAGCCTGCTTGTGGTAGTCATGTAGATAAGGGCTTTACATTTATGAGGCAGCACTTACCACAAGAACCGGTGTTCACTGAACTTTTAGACAGGCAGCCTGAGCAGTAAGACTAAAAATGGGAACCGCGTATCACATAGGATCTTGTTTTTACATTAAGACAAGGATGGTGTCGCTGAGCGGCACTGGTTTTTGGGAGAAAGCTCAGGCACTGCTGATGCACTTGGGCCGCTTCGCTGCCTCAAAAATCTCATTTGTTGCTCAGGTACAATCGGCTGTTGGAGATAATTGCACAGACTCTGAAGGATCTGCTGAAAGCTCTTAAGGGCCTTGTGGTGATGTCCTCCCAGTTAGAGCTGATGGCCAACAGCCTGTATAACAACATTGTCCCAGAGATCTGGAACACCAAGGTACTGTCCACCAGGCTGCTCTACTAACAGTAACCATCATAGTGCTAGGCCAGTCAAGTAAGGGACATTACCACAGCAAAGTCTGAAGTGCTTTTCTTTGCAGTGAGGAAGCCTGTGACTCGAACAAAGATGACTAAATTGCAGGCACAGTGGGGTAACGACACTAGAATCTCCTTTCAAAGGGTTCCAATTTGGTTGCACACTGAAACAAGCTTAGGGGGCTGTATGCTACTTCCTACAGCACTTCCCACATGAGAAAACCACCAAGGAATTCAGCCTGAATGGCAGCCATTTCTCAGGCCTGTGTCCAATGAATCCTGTACTCTAATTGGGTGGAATAGTAGGGATGCAGGCTCACAGAGATGCTGTAGCAGGGCTGTGCAGCTTGCATGGGACTGGTCCAGCCTTGCAAAGATCAAAGCAGACCAGCACTGTTTCTTGCTTCTCTGTAACTCCTTGCTCTGACTGGTTGTAGGAGTCATATTTGTATAGTGACTGTACAGTTACTCAGCTCTTCATCAAATGAATCCTGTACTCCGATTGGCTGGGAGTCATTAGCTAGCTGGAGTGCAGGGATTTGTGTAATTACAGTTCTATTATTCCTTAATGATATACAAAATATGTAAGTCTTCCAACTCCCTGTGGTTACTATAACAAATAAATATTTCCCTAACAAAGACTGGCCACTATTTAAAGTGGAACACACTACACTGGTGCATGTAGTAAATGCACAGCACAGACCTTGGAACAAGGAAACAAGCCTTCTTGCCTTCCCCCACCTCAACTGGCACCATGGGTTGCCCCACCTCTGGCAGGCTAATTTTGGGATCAGTAGTCCCCAAACTGCCTAGGTTATTTGGCTGGAGACTAAAAGCATCTGAAGGGTGACTAAGCTTGGCTCTGTGCAAACAACTCATGTGTTGGTCTCTCCAGGCCTACCCGTCACTGAAGCCCTTGGCCTCATGGGTCAGTGACTTGCTGCAGAGGATTGATTTCCTGCAGAGATGGATCAATAATGGGATCCCACCCGTGTTCTGGATCAGTGGATTCTTCTTCCCCCAAGCCTTCCTCACTGGGACTCTGCAGAACTTTGCCAGAAAATCCATCATCTCCATCGACACCATCTCCTTTGACTTTCAGGTCAGTAATCCAGGGTGAGTCACTGTTGTTGCTCAGTGGTTTAGTTTTCAGCAGTAGAAACCACACACAGGACCAAGGGACCAGAAAAAAAAACTACTAACGTGTCCAAAACCACAACCTATGCAGTCAGGCATCTAGCACTAAACCTGTGCTTTGGCTAGTGCAGGGGAACAGCTGCTGGAGTGGTACTTCTGAACAGTCTTCATGCAGCCTTGGTAGATCTGTGCAATTGTTACATTAGGGCCACCTCACTGGGTCCTATGTGCTTTGAAGCCTCTAGCTTGGAACACAGTTCAGATGTTGTCCCTAGCTTGAGGTCACCTAGCTCAAGGTCACCTAGCTCGCTCTCACTGCAGACCTCCTGGCAAGCCTCTTCTCCAACAATGCCCATGGGAAAGGCCATCCCTAGCAGGGGGCAAATCGGAGCAACCACCCTGGGCTCTGCTTTGGGCCCCCCCGCCCCGCAGAGCCAGGCAGAGAGGATGTGGCTGCTGCATTTGAAATTTGACCCACCCTCCCACCTGGTGGGTTGGATGTCTTTGCCTGTTGCGGCTAGAAGTTCCAAACGTCATCCATCCCACCACAGCCAGTGTGCCGGGGCTTTCAATCCCCAGCATACACGTGCCGTGGGAGTGGGGGCTCACACCCTGCTGAGATAGTCTCTGCTCGTGGGCCTAGTACAGATCCCATCAGACCACCCCCTGGCTTAAATGCACTTTCCTGGAGCCTGTGCTTCACTGCAGGCATCTTACTGACTTCTGCTCTTCCTGTCCCAACCAGGTGATGAGGGAGTCAGTGAGTGAGCTGACCCAGCGCCCTGCTGAGGGTTGTTACATTCATGGCCTGTTTCTTGAAGGTGCTCGATGGGACCCCTCTACCTTTGAGCTAGTGGAGTCACGTCCCAAGGAGCTTTACACAGAGATGGCCATCATCTGGCTAATTCCTGTCCCCAACCGCAAACCTCCAACCACAGGCATCTACTTGTGCCCAATCTACAAGACACTGACTCGAGCAGGTAAGGATTCCAGTGGAGGGAGTTCTCCAGAGGCAGCACCTGTGAGGATATGCTGCTAGCAACCATGAAATCAAAAGCAGCATTCTTCAGTTAGGTCAGGATACTGTTCCCTGTACTGCATAACCACTGGCTGTTAATCAGCAGGTACAGATGATCTCCACCCAAGGGTGCTGAGGGAATTGGCAGAGGCCATCGCGGGACCCCTGGCACAGCTCTATGAGCACTTGCGGTGCTCTGGCGAGGTGCCAGAGGATTGGAAAAGGGCCAACGTGGTCCCCATTTTAAAAAAGGGGAGGAAAGAGGACCCAGGAAACTATAGGCCTGTTAGTCTTACCTTGGTCCTGGGGAAGCTCTTTGAGAAAATTATCCAAAAACATCTGTGAGGGACCAGCAGGAGAGATTATGCTTAGGGGCAACCAACATGGGTTCATTAAAGGCAGGTCCTGTCAGACCAACCTGGTGGCCTTCTACGACCAGGTCACAAAATCCTTAGATGGAGGGGTAGCAGTGGACGTAGTCTTTCTGGACTTTAGGAAGGCCTTCGACACTGTCTCTCACCCCATTCTCATCAAAAAGTTAGGCATTGACGCCACAGTCACCTACACGGTCAGATGGGTCGCAAATTGGCTACAGGGCCACACCCAGAGAGTGGTGGTGGACGGGTCATTTTTGACCTGGAGGCATGTGGGCAATGGGGTTCCCCAGGGCTCAGGCCCGCACTTTAACATCTTCATCAGCGACTTGGACGAGGGGGTGAAAAGCACCTTGTTCAAGTTCGCAGCTGACACTAAGATGTGGGGAGAAGTGGGCACATTAGAAGGGAGGGACAGGCTGCAACTAGATCTGGACAGGTTACAGGGGTGGGCGGATGAGAACAGGATTGGATTCAGCACTGACAAGCACAGGGTACTGCACCTGGGGAGGAAGAACCAGCAGCATACCTACAGCCTGGGGAACTCCCTTCTCGTCAGCACAGAGGCAGAAAAGGATCTTGGAGTCATTATAGACTCCGAGATGAACATGGGCCGCCAATGTGAGGACGTGGTCAGTAAGGCTAACCGCACCTTGTCATGCGTCCATAGATGCATCACGAGCAGGTCCAAGGAGGTGATCTTCCCCCTGTATGCGACATCAGTCAGGCCACAGTTGAAGTACTGCATCCAGTTCTGGGTGCTGCAATTCAGGAGGGATGTGGACAGCATCAAGAGGGTCCAGAGAAAGGCCACTTGCATGATCAGATGGCAGGAGGGCAGACCCTACGAGGAGAGGCTACGGGACCTGAACCTGTTCAGCCTCCACAAGCGAAGGCTGAGAGGGGATCTGGTGGCCGTCTATAAACTTACTAAGGGGGACCAGCGGGAATGGGAGACTTTTCCCCTGAGCACTACCAGGAGTAACTAGGAATAACGGCCATAAATTGGCTGAAAGTAGGTTCAGGCTGGACATCAGGAGGCGCTACTTCACCATCAGGGCAGCTAGGATCTGGAACCAACTTCCAAGGGAAATGGTGCTCGCTCCTACCCTGGGGGTCTTAAAAAAGGAGGCTAGATAATCACCGAGCCGGAGTCATTTGACCCCAGCATTCTTTCCTGCCCATGGCAAGGGGTCAGACTTGATGATCTGCTCAGGTCCCTTCTAACCCTACCAACTATGAAACTATAAAGACCCAAGCAATTAGTTGCTCACCTTGATAACTGGCCTCACACTAAACAATAACACTGCACTAGATTTCATATGTGAGCACTAGGGCTGTGCAAAATAGCTGCATTTTGATTCAGTTTCTGAGGACAGTGATTTGTTTTGGTGTTTTGGATCACTGCCGTTTCATTTCTGCTGAATCCCCTTCCAATCTTTTTCGAACAGGGTGCAAGGGAAGCTTCACACAACCCTACCCAGCCAGGAAGGGCTTGGGGCCAGGGCTATAGGTGGCTCTTCCTGGGGAGGACCATTGCCCTCCTTGCAGGCAAGGAGACCCCCGTGCAGATCTTTGATCCCTGTCACACTGAGTCATGGGACAGGGAAGCAGCACAGAGTGGTGAGCAAGCCTTACTGGTCCCTGCCATGCGACTTGGCTCCATAGGGAGCAGAAATCCATGTTGGGGTCTCCTTGTCACTGCTGCCCGCCCCACGCTTCCCCGGCAATGGGCAGCCGCGGCGAGGAGACCCTGGTGCAGACCTCTTCTTCCTGCAGTGCCAGGTCTCGTGGCAAGGACTGCCCAGCCCTTGGTTCAATTACCCCAGCTCTTCCTGGGGGGCAAAGGCCCCTGGATCTGCACGCTAGGTTTCAGCAGGTTGCTGCTGCAGGCTGGGGGCCCACACCCCCTGGGAAGAGCTGGGGAAATAGTCAGAGCTAGGGAATCAAACTGGGAGCTTAGATGTCAATATCAGAGCAGTCCCGCCCCCCCTTAGTTTTTGTTTCCCCGCAAGCCCAGCTCTGAAACATTTCCAAAACGTTTCGGAGCCTTCCAACTTGTTTCAGAGCCTTCAGTTTCGATTTGGATTCAGCATTTCAGGCACCAAAATGGCCTGAAACACCCCCGAAACAAAACGGCTGCCAAAATTTCACACAGCTCTAGTGAGCACCACACTTACTCTCTTGTGCTTCCCACTACCCAGATCGGCTTGTTGCATGAATAGCTAGTTAACAGCATGGCCAGATGGCCTCCCTGTGTACCACACCCCTGGTTGACTTGTCCGCAAGGACTGAACCTAGGATCAAAACACACGAGCCTCCCTGTTTAAGGCCCCAGAACATACACATAGAACCTGTTCACAGGACTATAAGAAAACCCTCCTGCTTGTTCTGTTACCAGTCAGCAAGTGACCTGGTAACTCCCAGCCTGCTGGAGAAGTGTTAGCAGCTGAACCTGGCTCTGGAACAGGGAAGGAGAAATGCAGGGTGAAGATGCAGTGTGGGAAGGGCAGTGCTAAGATAGGAAGCTCCTTCAGCCATTGGTTATTGACCATTGCTAACAAGCAGTCAGATCTCCTTGACACTGCAGTAGCAGTGGGATTGTCTACAAGGCACTGTACGTGCTATAGGACTCTACTATCTGCACATCCTCTTCCTACAATCTTTATTTTTTCCCATCCCAGGAACCTTGTCAACAACAGGTCATTCCACCAACTACGTAATTGCCGTGGAGATCCCCACCAGCAAGTCTCAGAGGCACTGGATTAAGCAGGGTGTAGCCTTGATCTGTGCCCTAGACTTCTAGCTCCCAGAATGCCACCTAATCTTAGAAGCCATAGCAATGACGCAACCAACTCACGAGACGCAAGCCATTGTTGCTGCTGTCCTGTAGTCCTGTGCATTGGGAAAGCGTTTGAGCAACCCTGCAATTATTTCTCCCTCCCCCTCAGAGCTGTTATGTATTTAGTCTTGTTTTGTTAATACAGAGCTGTTCTGTTTCACCAAAATACTGTGCTTGATTCTTTCTAGCCAGTCTCTTAACCACTGCTCTAGCATAAGGCTCTGTTTTTTAGACTCAAAGTCCCCTTCAGAAAATGCCAGCTTATTTTTCTGTAGTCAAAAAGCAAGTGAAAGCTACTAGAGAGCAACTTAGTAAGACCCTGACTGGTCAAAGTGTTTTCGACATTGTGGATTCCTATTTGAAATCTCTGGGTTTATCATGTGAATCATGTAGGTGTTTGCACACCTAACAGTCCTAGTGTTGTGCATCATGCTGGAGAGTCACTGTGGCTAATTTCAACACTACTGTGAAACAAGCAAACAGGGCAGGAAAGAAGCACCTGCTCAGATAAGGCTTAGAGATTAAATAAAATCAGCTCATTCCTTGGCCAGGGCACAGCCACCACCTTGCTGCTGCTTCTTTTCTGTCCATTCACACAGATGCATCTCACTTTTTTGTGAAACAGGAAGTCCCCCCCATCCCACTCGTAAAACAAGCTTGTATCTTGTTCAAGCACACCACTTGTTAAACACCTCTCTCCAGGACATGTGGTATGAACAGCTTTATTCTTTCCAGCAGATCCATTATTTACAGCGCTTAAAATCCGACATGGCAAGAGACAGAGGGATGTTCTTCTCCCATCAACAAGTATCAAAACAGCTTCACTTTACTGTGCTGATCTGCACAAGTGTGGACTGCAGTTCTTCAGGGAGGCTGCCCTGCTTTCACTTGCATCTACATCTTCCTTTAAGACTTCTCTCCCCTTCGAGCCCCATTAAACAGCCTCGGCAGCCTGTTGTCAGGCCAGCCAGGTCCTGGAGCGGGAGGAACCATGCTTCCCCTTACGATACAAGCCTGACAGCTGCTAGGGTCAGGAAGGAAGAAACCCACCTTCAGCAGTGACAGTCAGCATCAGCACAAGGAAACGGAGAGGGGAGCATAGGATAGAGGCAGCACCTAGAGCAGGGGAGGCCTGTTTGCATGTCAGTCTATTCCTGTGTAAAAAGGGGCTCACCTCACATAAGAGAAAAGCTCTCAACTAAAAAAAACCCAAAACGAAACAAAAAAACAAAACAAAAAGACGAAAACAATGCCATTTCAGCCCTGGGCAGCTGTGAGCCCCACTTTGGTCCCTACCTCTTCCTGCTGTTTCCTCCTCTCCTCAGCCACACAGCTGTAGTTTCTGGGGAAAGCCACCCTTATGCTGGAATACACATACTCCCTGGGAACAGGCACAGGAACAGTGTGTCCAGGCCCGCAGTGAGTGCAACAGACTATTCCTTCCCAGGCCCCTTTCAAAAGATTCCTTTGAGCCATAGTCCTTTGGAAACAGACCTGCCAAGCCCAAACAGAGTGGGCTTGTGCCCCTACCCAAGTGCCTCATGTCTCATTTGGATCTCCTGAAGCTACGGACACATTCTTGTCCCTCCAGCCTCACGGAGCCCGAGCAGCAGTACTGGCCTCTGCACAGGGAAGGAGATGGTCTCGGAGACTACTGCCCACCATGTCCTGCCTGAGGCAGTCCTTCTACAACAGGTCACACAGCTGCTCAGACCAGCGCAGGAAAGCCACAACTAGGCAGGCACAGCTGTACCGAGCCACACAGCGAGAAAGGGGCAGAGTGAGCACATGAGGTCAGGTCATGGAGAAACCTGCTCTGCGCTCACCTGGGGATGGTGACCACAGTAAGGAGGGGGGGAGATGGGACTGAGCCAGGCCCTAGGAATCTCCTCCCCACATGGAAGGGCACTCAGTCTGCATCACAAGGCCACCTTGGAAGAGCCCAGCCCAACATGGAAGGGGTACATATTGGCACAACTAATGTGAGGGCAGCTGCCTGGTCCTATATGGGGAAGGCTGAGCAGCAGTGCTCAGGGTGAGGCCTCCAAGGAGCTGCTAGGCTTGGGAACAAGGACAGAACCAAAAATAAACATTTGCAACATAGAAAATAGATATCTGAATGTCCGGGGGGGACACAGAGCTCAAGGCCCAGACACTTAAGACCACGAGCCACAGCCAGCTGTGGTCAACATGGACACATGCCAGCATTGCTGGGGAACTGGAGGCCTTGCTAAGACAACTCCAGCTGCCTGTCCCCCCATAGGCTGGAAGTCAGTGGGTTGTCCACTCCTCTCCCAGTTGATTTCTGCCTCAGTCCTTGGCCAGAAAGCCACTGCCTCCTGCCAAGTGTTATGCAAAGCAGCCCAGGACACACTTACCACATAGATCTGAGTGTTTCTGTGGCCCCAAATTAGGCAGCCAACACTACAGACTGCACCCCCTGGGTCTATGCCCTGCTGCTGGGCCTCACTCTCTGGGAGTACCCCTGGCTTGTTCAAGACTCAGGGTACCTGGCTGGGAGGAAAGTCCAATCTCTGCCTCTACATGCAGCAACAAGGACACGAGCAGGAAGGTCCCAGCCATGGATTTGCATCAGGTCCCTCTTCCCTGGGCAAGGGTGAACCACGATATTTGAGGGCCTGGATCTCAACAGTGGCCAAAGCAAGCAAGGCAGGCATAGGGTTCTGCTCACAGCCCCGACTCCAAGGATGATGCTACTGGCGCTTGGCTTTGTAAGGACGGGAGCGTTTCCGACGGTCTGGTTTCCTCTGCTTGTGGAGGCGCCCAATGCTGACTCCCTGCCGTCTACGCACAGAGATGTTCTGCTCCACAAGGCTGGCCAGCATCCCTGCAGGGGAAAAACAGATGCATCTGAGCTGACTCAGGAACTGCCTACCCACAAGCCTGCCATTTTCTGGTCTCAACTCCCTCCCAGAAACACAGACACTTGACATTACAACTCCTCATTAGCTCACCTACCTAGCCTCACCTGCTTCTAATCTGGAGACCTGGATGCTCTAATCACCAGAATCTCAGCTCATTCAGAAACCAAGTCTTCAGGTTTCAGAGCAAAGGGTACCTGCTTTCCAGAAACCATCCCCCTGCTTCCCACTACGAATGCAAACCCCACAGAATATACATACTTGCCCCCAATGCAATGGACTGTTCTACGTGCAAGAAAATGCCAGCAATTATACATGATTTGCTCATAGCCTGAAAAGAGGCACTGTCAGCTATGGGAAGCCAATCCCAGGACAAAGAAGTGCTCCATCCCAATGAACAGACTGCAAGAGAGGTCAACCCTTCAACAACTCCAACCTCTGCCTTGAGAAAGCCACAGGGGCCAATTTAAAACATCTCACCCATCCAGGAGTAATGAAACAAAGGTGAACCCTGGATGTGCAGCTCTCCCCACCTAGGTATGCATAGGGGGTAGGACTCTCCCCCCTAGGTATGCAGTAGCAATGCACAGGGGGTAGGACTTCCCCCCCTCCCCCCAGTCAGCAAGATTGGGAAGCACCCCACCTGGTCGCTGGGGTGGGGGAGCGGGACACGTGCCCCACCCCGGCTAAGGTGGCACCAGTTGCCCATAACTGCCTGGAAGCAGCAGGCCTCACCTTCCTGAGCCAACATAGAGATGAAGGTGCAGATGAATTCATCGTAGTTGTGGGTTCTTCTCTGGTCATCAATCTACAGAAGGTAGGCAGAGAGAACTCAAGGTGAAAGGCTGCTCTCCAGAAGCAGTCACAAGTGCAGCCCAGCAAGCATCCCAGGCTGGAGTCCTATCAACAGGACAGGGGACAGGAAAGGAATACCTGGATAATCAAATCCAGACTCCTGCTATCCCGGGCAATAGACTCAGGAGCCTGATGTGAGCTCTTGGCTGGTTTGGGTCCTATGCTTAGGCCTCAACACATGGAATCAACAACTGAAACCAGTTTAAAGCCGCTGTCCATATTGGAGTTTTCAGTTAAGAGATGTCAGGGGAAAAGACAGTCAAGATGGCTGATCCAAGGTCAATTCTGTCTCAAAGACAAGATGAGACTGTCCCAATTCCATCTTGCAGGGTAAGCCAAGTGCTCTGTGGGGCTTAGTGCACCCAAGGGCCCAGCAGGAACTGTGCTGGAAGCCCAGCAACATCCTTCCCCTCCCTAAAGTCTCCTACATACCAGTGGCACTTGGGCCAGCAGGGCAGTTCTATTAATCAGCCTCAGCCTAGCTGCGAAGCTCAGTCATACTGTTCTGTGCTGGGAAGAACTCCAGACTGGGCTGCTGGACAAGGGGCAGCTTTCCCAGCCTGGAGTAGAGGACTGATAGAGACTGGCTCCATCCCCTCACCATACCTGCCCCCCACAGCTAAACAAGTCTCTCCCACATGCCACTGTGACAGGGTTTATCCTGCAGACTCCCAGGACAAACAGGCAATACACCAGCGCACCTTGAATTTTTTCCTCTTCTCTACCTCCTCCTTCAGACAAGCCTCGTAGTTGGCAATCTCTGCTTCCACACACTTCAGCAGTGCCAGCAGCTCCTGCCGGGCCAAACAGAGAGCACTGGTCAGCACCTCCCTGCTAGGTCAGTGCCAGAGCAGCACATAGGGAAGGGAGGGCTACAGACAGCACCCACTGCTGTCACAGTCCAGCTGCCTCAATGGAAGGGCTGGGTGGGAATCATAATGCTTCATGGAAACCAATGGTTTCCAATTAAACAGTCCCTCTGAGCCAAGAAGAAGTGCAAGTGGGTGAAAACAAAACCAGTCAAATCACATGCTGGTCAGTGGGGATAGGTGGGTTTCCACCCAGCATGTGATCAGTTGGCTCTTTTGAACACATCCATGGACTCTTGACCTGCATACAAGACATTGGACAGCCTCAGCTTCATCCTGCATCAAAAGGAAACTGCCTTCTCTGGGCAGAACCAAATTCTAGCCAGACCTACCCAGTGCATCATGCCAGGCCAGACAAAGCCATGCAGCTCTGGCACATACACCCCCTCTGCTAAGACAGGGAAGGGCAGGCTCCAGGAAGGGGTGCTGGTACGATGGCCTGTCTTATCCAGTACAGCGAAAAGAGCTCCTTCCCCAGTCGGATGGCTGTGCAGTACAGCAGGGCACAGTAGGGGGGGCGGGTACAAGGGAAGGTGAAGTTACATGTAACCGCAGTGTAACAGGCTGCTCACAGGCACTTGAAAACTGCTGAGGGAGTTTGCTCAGTGGAGCTCTCCACAGGACAGAGCTGTGTAAGAACAGCAAAGCAC